CTGTAACCAATCAGAAAACAGGATTCCGATGGAGTTTGCTTCGCATCATCGGAATTCTGTTTTCTGATTGGTTGAAGAGCGTCGTACAACACAAATCGGATGCAGTGTGAATCCAGCATAAGCGTGAATCGGACCGCGGCCTATGAATACCGGCGTATGTCTTTGGTAACGTGACAATCGAAAACGCCGATTCGTTCATGGTGAAAAATAAACTGCTGTGATTTTTTTATATCTGCTAGCAGTGTTTAATATACAGTTGTGTATTACGATACACAAAGATAATGAATGTATAGATATATATCACACATTCTTCTGACAGATTATTCCCTATAGATCCATTATTATTACATTCTTCATTATTATCAGGAGACACGGTAGTGTTTCGATAATAATTTTCCTTGATCATATTTTTAAAAATTCAAACCGTGTAATCACATATAATATAACCGCTCCAGCAAAAACAGTTGGCGTAACGTGGGCGCAGGCATTGAAAATAAAATATTAATTTATTACCGTTGCGCCGTTGCGCCACGCCACTACGATCGGGAACAATTCTCTTGAGTAAAGTCACTAGATTTATAGATTTATAGATTTATAGATTTATAGATCTAGTGACTTTACTCTTGAGGCTGCACCCTTACACCGTGTTTTGCCTTTTCGTGTAGACGAGCCCTAATGCTGGATTCACACTGCATCCGATTTGCGTCGTACGACGCAACCAATTGGAAAACAGGATTCCGATGGATTTTGCTTCGTATCATCGGAATCCTATTTTCTGATTGATTGTGGAGCGTCGTACGACGCAAATCGGATGCAGTGTGAATCTAGCATAATAGTGCAGGATATCGGGAAGCTCGGGCTGCTCGGCGACTCGCGCGTATCTGATTTCGTGCGTTAAAGTTTGCTACATTTTCTCAGCAATAAATTGATGTAGAAACATGATTTTTTAAAAATCTAGGGTAGCTTGATGAGATATAAACTTAACCAAATATTTCGTAAAGTAATTGTAACTATGAAATTTTTAGCTTTTTGTTTCTTGAATTTTTATCTTTTCAGTTTATTACTGAAAAATCACGTTTGAGTATGGAGTCTGCATGTCTCATTAACAAATTTAAAGACCCCCCCGCAGCACACACTTTTGTATAACGCAAAACGCATAATACATAAGCGAATCAACTAATCAGAATCTTTCCTTTCCTCCCATTCCATGGAAAAGATGAATTTTGATTGATTGATTCCTTTATGCACTATGCATTATGCGTTATGCAAGAGTGTGTGCTATGGCCTTAAGTCACATGAGCGATGTTTCTTTATTTAGACTGCGGTCCACTTGACGCTACAAACACTTCAAAGCGTTTGAGTGACTAATCAGAACAAAGAATTTAACGAATTGATTAATCAAGAAACGCTTCGAAGCGTTTATAGCGTCAAGTGGACCGCAGCCTTAATTATGCTGTAAAAAATGTCCAATTAGGCAATTAAATGTACGGAATTATCAGTACAAAATTGTTTTTGTGAATTTAAGATGCAAATATGACATATGTAAACAAATAATTAATAAGTAATTTGTCAAATATTAACGTACGTTTAGAAGATATAACACTAACTCTTTCGCAAATATAAAAGTAAGTTAGTATTATACGTAAAATATATTTTGCAACTATCTTCAATAGTTATGGCCGCAGCACAGACTTTTGCATAACGCATAACGCATAGTGCATAAGCGAATCAACTAATCAGAAGCTTTCTTTTCCTCTCATTCCATGGACTCGGATCGAGTTCTAGCATCGTGGACATTAGGCTTTACACTTATGCGGGGTCTACAATAGAAGTCGTAGCAGTCGTAGGGTCTTAAGTCGTAGAAAATTGACCAATCATAGTCGATTATTCTTCTCATATTCTACTGATTGGTTAATTTTCTACGACTTATGGCTACTGCACACTGGACGCGATGAGCGATGAGCGAC